ACTTCATAAATCAGGAGTAAAAGAACTTGAACTCAAGTGGGTTACTGGTTTGCTAACATTCTCCTGTATTTTCTTTTCATACTTCTGCACTTAGGAATTGATTTTGCTAAGAAATAGTTAATGTATAATTTTCTTTCTGTGACGTTTCAGAGATGATTCAATTGAAGAATTCTCTCTTCTCAATCTGACAAAAAGCTTAAGTAGTGCCTTCTTTCCTCAGTTCAGGTATATCAACTCATTTCAGTTGACTGAAGTGCTCATTTAGGTATCTTCCGTACCTATTTCCATTTTCTAGCATTTGAGTCTCATGTGTTTCTTTCATTTTGACTTTTAAATGAATATCTAGGTAAACGAGGAGTCTTAGCAACTCATTATAAATGCATTGGCCTTCTTATTGCCTTATTATGCATCTAAATTTTACGGCGAAAAAATTTTAATTTTTTTCTTCTGTGGAAGTTTCAATTTGCACGTGTGCATGGGAGCTCCAAAGGCTGCAAGTTACTTTCCCTGATTTATGTTTAGTTTATATTTGTCTTACTATAGTTCTGTTCCCTTGATTACCTGAATGTCAGTGTTTTCACTTTCCCGTATCTTCGGTAACCTGTTAACACTCAGAGCTGGACACATCAGGAGTCTATAAAATATAAAAATATGACTTGAATTGTTGCATATATTGGTTGCCTGTGAACCTCTAGCTAACAAGTATTCATTCTTGGGTCCTGCTGATCATATGTGAACTGTGTTTTTTCTTTCATCAGCCCAGATGGAAAGTTACTTGTTTTTTTATCTGCAAAAAGCTCTGTGGATTCTGGGGCACACTCTTCAACTAATTCACTTCACAGAATCAATTGGCTGACCACCCATGGAAAGCTGTCCCCATCTGAAATATTGTTGATGTGGTACGCTATCATTCTTTATGTGTTCATTCTGTGCACAATGAACCCTGTTGTTGAATTATTCATTTGTATGGATCTAGCTATGAAGATAAATTTCTTTCTCTGCATGAAACATGTATGCAATAATGCTAA